GGGGCAGGGAAGCCGGCGCGGCCGGTCTGAACCTGTCTGGTTAGCTTCCGTCCTTTTCAATCCCGTTTCAGGGACCGCATGGACCCGTGTAGACGTAGGCAGATAGACACATGAAGTCACGCGTGTTGCGTTCTTTTTTGTTGTCCCTTTAAGAACATTTCCCCTTTTAGCCTTCTCCCTCCTGTGACATCGGTCTTGCGCCCCTTCTCCGCGGCTCCCGGGTATCTCGCAGGCATGTCCTGCCATAGGTTTCCCCAGGCTCACGCGTGCTGCGTTCTTTTTTGTTGTCCCTTTAAGAACATTTCCCCTTTTAGCCTTCTCCCTCCTGTGACATCGGTCTTGCGCCCCTTCTCCGCGGCTCCCGGGTATCTCGCAGGCATGTCCTGCCATAGGTTTCCCCAGGCTCACGTGATCACACACAGACAGATCGGTATCTCTAGGTCCCTATCTATCTATCTATCTATCTATCTATCTAATCTCTCATCTGTCTATCATCTATATCTATCTACTAGGGGCCTGGTGCACGGATTCATGCACCAGTGGGGTCCCCAGGCCTGGCCTGCGGGGATCGGGCTGAAACCAGCTCTCCGACATCCCCCGAGGGGTCCCGGATTGCAAAAGGGTGGTTCTCGGGTGACGCACCCCAGAATCAGGCTCCCTCCTCTCTGGTTCCGGGTGCGTCACCTGAGAACCACCACTGCCAAGTGACCACAGCTCGGCAGCTCCTGCGTTGAGCGTCTGCCCCCCTGGTGGTCACTGTGTGTCATAGCTACCGGCTGGTCGTCCGGTCGCTTAGGCTTTTATATATATAGATTATCAACATCACCTATCTCTATCATCTATAGATCCATCTATCGATCATCTATGTCTGTCTCTCTATCATCTATCTACCTACCTACCATCTCTGAGTGCGTTCACCCCTCCAGCTCCCGGTGGGTGTCACAGATGCCCGAGGCAAACTTGTAAAATAAACCAAGGGCCCCGAGAGACAGGGTATGGAGTTCCCTTCCCTGAGCTCGGCCTCTCGCCGGTCCCCCCACATCCCTGGGCACAGGTCTGTCCTCATGCCCAGCCAGGACGCTAGATTCCACGCCGCCACTCCATGCCCACTGTCTCCGTCCCTCTCGTCTCCTTCGCCAGCTGCTCCGGTGCCGGGACGTGGTGGCCACCGTGGACGACGCCACCACCCGCGTCCTGGCCAGCTGGTTCCAGTGCGAGG